TAGTGGCTACAGTCTATAGGGGAGGCAGTGTATAGGGACCACAGTGTTTGCACTGAGGATGTGCACAGGTGATGGAACGTGGGCACCAAGGGTGTGTATCGGGGCTATAGTGTGTGCACTGGGGAGTGTCTATAGGGGATGCAGTCTATAGGGGATGTAGCATATGCATCAAGTGTGTACAAGGAACACAGTGTGCATAAAGGTCTGTATAGGGGAGACACTATATAGGAGATGCAGTGTGTGCATTGAGTGTGGCAGTGGAGGGTGCAGTGTACACATCAAAGTGGGTATAGGGGCTGCAGTGCGTGCATTGAGGTGGGTATAGGGGCTGCAGCGTGTAGGGGATGCAGCATGCGGGGCCCGGGGGTGCCTCAGGCAGCAGGGCAGGCAGGAGCTGTACAGAGGTGAGGGGTCACCTGGGTGCAGTGCCTGGGAAGGAAGGTTCACGTGTGTGAGGGCACGCACGGGGAAGGGGTCCCATGCACAGGGGTAGGGGACAAGAGGGCCCACATGGGTGCTCACAGCTTCGCATGGACACAGCTCAGTATTGCAGCAAGAGGCACCTCTGGGTCCCCCACCCCACCTTGATGGACCAGCTGTGTCCCACAGCTCAGCCCCTCAGGCCCTGGGGAGCCCCAGCTGCTTTCGGGGTGGGGGGGCATCTCCCCTATGGTGAGGTGCTGGCAGGAGTGTGGCTGTGTGACGGGGCTGGGAGCAGTGGGTTTGGGACAGACACGGGGTTCAGACGGCTCTGGGTGCTCCCTCCACCGGGTGCCGGGGGAACGGGGGGCCGGCGGGCGAACAGGACCCCTGAGGAGCAAGAGTAAGGGGGTTAGGGTAAGCCCAGGACTGGGGGTTCCGCTCGCCTGACCCCCAGCACCCAGGTTGGGGAAGGTGGGACCAGCACCCCTGGCTCCAGCCCACTCCTATCACCTTTGGTGATTCTCTCAGCCCAGCTGCCCTCACCCGAATCAGGCAGCCTGTGGGGTGGCCCAGGACTGTTTGGCTGGCAGCCCTGTGTGCTGATTAGCCCTGACCTTTCCAGCCTGTTAAATATTTAAGTCCTGAATGAAAAGCCATTGATTTTAATTGGGGGTGTCTCAGCAGGGGCAGGCAGGGAGGGAGCTGGGGGGCATAGGATGAACTGCTTCGCCATGCAGGTGCACACTGGCACCCCAAAGAAGCCTCTGCTCCAGCAAAGCACTTCAACATCTTTCCCTCCACCCAACATCATGCTGTGCAACCAGCCAACCCCTGCACCCACCCAGAGACCCCCCTGGGCACATCAGACTCGTAACACAAGCCCTACCTGCAAGACCCCATGGTGGGGGATGACCCCAGGTGTCTTTTGCACTTCTCAGTCCAAGTCCATCCATCTGTCCATCCCTCTGTCCATCCCACTTTGGCCCTTCGTTCATAGCCCCTGCTGGGGGCCAATTTCCTCCCTCACTGACCCCCTCCTTCTCCTGCCCCCTCTCCCCAGGCCCTGCCACTTCATTACGATGGATTTTATAGTAAAGACATCAGATTGAAGGAAGGACTTGCTGGCCAGGCAGTGGCTATAAGTTATTGGATTTCCCGGCCGCAATTACACGGGCCAAGCGGCCCTTCTATTTACCTGTGTAGACAACTCCATTTATTTCTATTGACATGTTGATACTGCTAATGCCGTTGGTGGACAGGTTCAATGCAGTCTCCTGTCTGTCATCTGGGGAAAGGAAATACCAATATGAGCATTAAGAGAAACAGAAACAAGAACCTGCCCGAGAGAGAGAAGCGAGGCCTCAGGCTGTCTGGGCATCCATGCGCCTCTCCAGCCACCGCTGTTCTCTCCTGGGGTGCCAGGGGATGGGGTGACCCAAGCTGAGATGTTGCATCTCATTACCTCGGTTGGAGATCTTGACGTTCATGGGGAACTGGGAGGTCACAGCCAGGAGGTTGTGCTGCAGAGCGTGTTGCACCAGCCGCTGCTGCTCCTCTGCTGTCAGGGCCACCTTCTTCTCCGGGGGCTCCCCTGTCTCCAGCTTCTCCCGCAGCTGCTCCAGCACTGCTGCCTGCGAGGCGGCTGCTGCTTGGTTTGGCCAGTCCCACCGGGATAGCGATGCGCCCTGGCACTGCTGCTGCCAGCATGCCATCCTCTGCAATGACCAAGAGACTTCAGTGGGTCCCCTCATCGCCACCCCACCTCACCATCCCTAGCTGCTGCCACCTTCATCCCACTAGCATGGAGAAGAGCAGGCCACCACCCCAAGCATCTGCACTTGGTCCTCCTTCAAAGTCAGGAGAAACAAACCTTTTGCAGTCCCACAGAGGGACTAAAAGAACAAAATTGTTCCTACTTTCCTCAAGCAAAAAAGGGCAAGAGCAGACAGAAAGCATCTCTGCTGTTGGAGCAGTGCCCGTTCCTGGGGAGAAACGCCCGCCGTGGGGCAGATGTGGTCCTCACCCACCTTTCTTAACAGTGTGCACTTGGCGGAGCTGGCCACAGTTGTGCGTGGAGATGCTAAGAGCTGGCAGAGGCATTTTGGGGGAGCCCAGCAGAGTTGGGGTGCCAGCCGGCGAGTAGTTGAAGAGTGCTGTGCCAAAAGTCTGCCTCCGTCCCTCCCGACGGTTGCTGTCGATGGCGGCTTGGAGCTCCCCGGGAGAGCTGAGCGCCCGCTTCTCACATTCGTAGGGGTACAGGTACTTCATGTACCTGCAGAGGGAGAGAGCCAGCATGAGACCCAACATCGTGCACCTCCCAACCAGCTCTGTGCTGAGCAGAAACCAGGGTAGGGATGGTATCTGGGAAGGAACAGAGCCCTCCATCCCTTCTTGGGACACTTCATGCCTC